TTTTAAAGATAATTAGGCTGAAGTCATTCCCAATAATGTTTGCAAGTTTAAGCGGAATCGTTTTAAGAGTGAAACAGATACTTCCTAAACAATTAGATATATAGTCATATTGCCAACAAAATATTGTGTGTGTGCATGTGTGTAGTTTATAACTTTTCTCATGCCTAAGGCTACAGAAACTTAGATATGATCAATGATAGTCCAATTGATAAGCTTCCAGTTAAAATAGCGTTGGAGTCTCATGGTTTTCTCCAAATACAGAGCACTGATAGATCTGGTATAAAGGGGGAAATTAAAGCGGTCTACTGGCAGCAAACCTATGAAGACAGCTGTCCATGCTTGCAAAGGAGAAGAGTAGGATGTGGCGGGAAAGCTGGCCCACAGAGCCTCTTTGCGGACGAGAAGCTCTGAGGTAGTTACAGCAAACGAGAGTTCAGTTCCTACTTGATAGAGAAAGGAAAAAATGAAGGGGAGGGAGCAGGGTAGGAGAGAGGGAGAGAAAGAGAAATAGAGACTCTCTCCTTCCTTCAGATTGTACCTGAAAGTGCAAATTCCAAAGCACAAGAAGAAAGACATCTAATACTAATGAAAATAGTCAACAGATTCATCATTTGGAAGATGAACTTACTCTAGGTGAAATTAAAACACACACAAAAGCTGAAAAAGGCTGAGGCTATTAGCATCTTTGGAGATAGAAATTAATTAATATTACCCATAGAGATAGCTAGAAATTGTGAAACAGAAATAGGCAGAAATGGAGTAAGAATGGGTGAGTGTAACAAAGAAACAATAAAAATACTAGAAACAAAAAGTCAGTGAAATAGAAATTAGTTACAGAAGAAATGGCAGCACTCATTGCTTCCTGTCTACTGTGAGCAAGCAGCTTCTACTATGCATGTACCCCTGCTGACCTGATGCTCTCCCTTACCACCACCCCGGAAGCAATAGTGCCAAAGACCATGAACTCAAACCACTGACACTGTGAGTCAGATGAACTCTAAAGACTATGCCCTTGAAGTTTCAAATGGGAGTTAGGATTCCATGGCCTCGTGGTAAAGACCTTGCTTACATTTGTCCATTCCCTGAGACATCACGGAGGTAGAATATTACAGTGGAGGTCTGAGATGGCCATGAGGATTCACACTTGTAATTGCAGCTCTTAGGAGACTGAGTGGAGAGGATTGTGAGTTTGAGGCCAGCCTGGGCTACAAAAACAAAACAAAATCCCTTTAAGTATGCAGAACAACTTGAAATATAGACTAGGCTTATAAGAAGGAAAGGAAAGCCTGAGATAAGAAAAAAAAAAACCCAAAAAAACCTAATGTGGAATCTAGAATAGGAATCCAGTGTTAAAGTTTGAGCTTGCATGGGTGCATGCAGTTGCCAAATCCAGCAACATAGACTTCTTGACTTAATAGATTTTCGCCTATCAAGTTAATAAGCTCTAGGACAAAATGAAGATAAGAAATAAAATGGAGAACCCATGCAAAGCCAGTATCTACTTTAGTGAAAAAGCAAATTATATTTGATGGAAACTAACTATCCATCCCATAAACTGAGATGTATTGGTTTTGTCTCTGAAAGGATAGACTTTTCTTGTGAGAAGGAAGGCCCCTTTTGATGACCATAAAACAGACAATCATGCCAAGGTGGTGTGTATCTGGGATCTCACCCAGCATTTGGAATACTGACGCAGGAGGTTGTAATTTTCAAATTTATTGACTGTTTTTATTATAAACTTACATTCATTTTAATGACTTCACTTTTCAAGATTGTCTTTTAAATTCCTGACATCAGTGATTTGTGCTTTTGCTTTAGACTTTCTCAAAGACTTGTTAATTTGATTAGACTTTTAAGAAACAGATGTTTTTATCTTCCAGCTTATTCATTTGTACTATTTCTGTGCTTCTACCTATCTGTCTGTCTGTCTATCTATCTATCTATCTATCTATCTATCTATCTATCTATCTATCTATCTATCTATCTACCTATCTATCTATCATTGATCTCTCCTTTCTTCTACTTTTCACTTTAATTGCTTTTTTTAACCTCTTGAAGTAGAAACTAAGATTACTAAAGTCAATATTTATTCTTCAAGCATGTGTTTAAGGCTATTGAATTTCTTCTAATCAGTTTTAGGTGTCTCCTACTAGTTCTGACTTTTTATTTTTCATTAATATGCATTTTAAAACACGAACTACAATTCCTTCTATTAATATTTTCATATATAATTTTCCAGACATTTTTCTCTGTGTGAATTCATACATGCTCATGGGTAATTTAGAAGATTACTGCATACTTTCAAAATATTTAGGTCTTGTCTAATTTGCTTCTAGTTTGGTCAGAAAACTTACTCTATTAGTGATCTCAGGTTGTGAGAACAAAGTACCATTGTGAGGGTGACTTAAACACTAGAACTTTGTTTTCCCCTTGGCTAGAAAGTGAAAAGCAAAAGCCCGTAGGGTCTGGCTTATGGAGAGCATTCTCTGCCTGGCCTTTGGGCCCCGATTTCTCCCTGTGTCTGCAGACGGTAGGGAGAAAGGTGCCCTACGGCTATTCTCCCTCTAATGACTCCTGAAAAGCCTCAGCGCAAACCTCATCCTATCGGAAGACAGTGCTTCACCATGTAAATCTTTGTGGAACACAGATGTCTTCACTAAGATGTTTCTTTGCAGTTGTGATTTCCACGTTTATGCAGGACTTAGACTATATATTCAAATGTCAAATTCTTTTCTTTCTATGTAAGTCTTTGTGCCCAAGTGTTTTTCAAACTTCATAATATCCATTAAAATATTTCAATTCTGTTTTTTACTTTGGAGAACTAAACATCAAATGGGATTGACATATGCCTTGAAACTTTGTAGGAATTCCATGGATAACTAAGCTAATAGAGTCTTGTCCTTGAATGAACATTTTGCTGTTTTCTAGAAATCTATTTCAAAGATATTTTCAAATAAATCATTAAATAGAAATAATTGTTTCCTATACCTAGCAGTTCATGTTACATGCGCATTATGTTAGTAAACTTTCCAACACTTTAACAAATACCAGAGGCAACTGATTGATAAAGGGAGACCTTTAATTTGATTGACAGTCTGGAAGGTGTCAGTCCCCACCGAGGGGTACTCTACTCATAGGTGCCTGTAAAGGCTCAGTGCATCATGCTGGGGGGATTTGGTAGAAGAAGCCCAGGCACCTCATGGCAAAAGACAGAGAGGGAAAGGGGCTGGAGTCTACCCTTCCAAAGACACGCCCCTAGTGACCTAAAGCTTCCCACTGACCCCACCCCTTAGAGGTTCCACAACCTGAGAGCTGTGCCAAGCCGGGGACTGAACCTTTAACACATGGACATTCCAACCTGCTTCTTATTCTACTGTTAAGCCTGGGTTGTTAGTTCTGCACCAGCAAACTTCCTTTCATTAATAAAATGTTTGTTCTTTGTATCGTATCACGAGTACTACTGCTTTTTTTTTTTTTTTTTCATTTTTCCCTGGAAAAGTAAACATGTTTGTTACAGAAAAAGAGAAATGAGAAAGTCGAAAGTTACATTTAAATATATATATTTTTTGAGTGAACTTGTTCTTCTCTGAGAATGAATGCCAATATGATGAATAAAAGGCATACGATGAATAAAAGGCATTAAATATTAAAAGGCAGAAAAATACAAAAAAAAAAAAAAACCAGAAATGCTGTTACTCAGACCTCAATGGTTGTGTGCTTATCTGGTTGTATGAGAAGCTTTTGGTTTAATAATACAATCACAGACACAGACACAGACACAGACACACACACACACACACACACACACACACACACACACAGACACACACACTGTACTGTACATAATTACTCTATGTCCACTTTAGCATTTGATGACTAGCTGCTGCATCATAGGTTTGTACCTCGCTGCTAAATGTGATTTTATTTCACTTTATGAAGTTCATTATTTTTCTTTTTTGCCTTACAAAATACCCTGGAACCACCAGCATATTTTTTAACATACATCTTAAGCATTTTAAATGGTTTGCTCCTGCTGTAGCTCCATGGTAACTAGTTAAGAATTCATGTTCCCTAAAAATCAAATGTCCACAAGTAAAACAGCCATAATATACAACATTTCACTAATCAGATGGGCAAATACTTTTAAAAATGGCATTCCCCAGCACTTCGGGAAATGGGGCATGTAAGCTCCGGGTGGGGGTGTACACTGCAAGAGTCTTCGCTGAAGTGACTTGGAAATATGAATTTAATGCAGCTGCTGTAGTTTTCATTTTCCCAGCTGTTTCACAAGGAAACTTGATTTTTTCCAAGATCTTATTAGAAAGGAATCACATTATATATATGCTGCAAATCCAGTCCTAACAGAAAGGAATTTTTCTCAAGGATATTACAAATAACGAATCCAGGTGCCCTGAAGATTCCTGAAATGTGTTTGTAAGCATTTAAAACCTCTTTTGGTGCCTCTATAAATCATCTTGGCCTCAGGACTGAAAACCACGTCAAGGTTTTATTTTTGATGAATGGTGGTGGCAGGGCAGGACAGGGGACGCATTTTGCTCCCTGTCACTCAGGATCTTCCCAGACAAGTGAGCTCTCTAACCGCCTCCCTGGCATTTCTTCCCTTTAAAGGTTGTGTTTCAATCACATGCATTCGGGGAGATGCCACAGTGTGGAGCCTGTACAGAGTAATCCGATCTAGAGCAGTGGTTCTCAACCTTCCTAATGCTGTTACAGTTCCTCATGTAACATCATTTTGTTGGTTCTTCATAACTGTAACTTTGCTACTGTTACGAACTGTACCGTAAATATCCGATATGCGACTCCCAAGGGGGCCGCGACCCACAGGTTGAGAACTGATTTTCTAGCGGTCCAGAGAGGAACTTGAGATGGCCTGTGCTTGTCGTGTTTTGCCTCATTTGAAGTTTCACCTTTTTCCCAGTCGCTTTTGCCTTTTCCTCACCTGGCTCTTTTTTTTTTTTTTAAATTTTTTTTTGGTACAGATGGCACACGGGCTCTTGGGGACCCTGCTCAGCTACCTGCGGCGTTGGAATCCAGACCCGAGATGTGTACTGCCTACATCCTGAGGAATCCCCAGCCCCTCTGGAGGAGTGCAGAGATGAAAAGCCTCACGCCTTACGAGCATGCAATCAGTTTGATTGCCCTCCTAGCTGGCATATTGAAGAGTGGCAGCAGGTACAGAAGCCTGGCAACCCGTGTCCCGTTCTGCTTACGACAGTGGCGGGAGCCCTGCTTTGCATGAACAGAAAGTGAGGCCACTGCTTCACCGTCTCTTTTCTTAGTGTTCCAGGACATGTGGTGGGGGAACCCAGACCCGGAGAGTCACCTGTCGACAGCTGTTAACAGATGGAAGCTTTCTGAATTTGTCGGATGAATTGTGCCAAGGACCCAAGGCATCTTCTCATAAGTCCTGTGCCAGGACAGACTGCCCTCCACAGCTGACTGCTGGAGACTGGTCAAAGGTAAGAGACATTCTTAACCCCTTCCTCTCTGCTCTTCCTTTGTCTCAGCTGCTAAATATTTCCCAAAGAGGTTCCGACCACCACTACTGAAAAACGGGCCCAAAGCCAGGGCATGGCCACTCAGAAGCCAGTTGCGAACCTAGTAAGTACATGAAAGATGTCCTCCTGCTCACATTTTCCTTCTTGCTCACTCACGTGCTCTGTCTCTCTA